TATAACCGCGTGTTCGAAACAACGAATCAAATTTTATTTTAAATTCAAATTTATTTTTTTTCCTTTTGAAAAATCATAAAATTCTAAATAAAAGGTATAATTTTGAATAATCTTAATTTAAAATGTATTTTTTCAACTCCATAATCGTTATTATTTGTAAAAATTTACGATTGTTTAAAATAAGTCGTGTCAATAGAATTGAAATAATGGTTTATATAAGTATAAAGAGTTTTAATGTACGTAACGTTATTTTTTTGGGAGAAAAAGTTTTATAAACGCAAATTAATAATATTAAATATATCTAATGAATATTTATAAAATATTTTTTATAAATACTTTGATGATTGCGTTATAAATTTAAAATCCGATTCTTTCACAAAAAAGTTTTATAACTCTATGGAAGTGTGAGTCACATTAAAGCGGTTAAAAGTTAAAATCTACCAATCAAAATTGTACACGGCTAAACATAAATGGCGTAAATATACTCAAGTTTAATTATTAAGACGTTTTTTCATTAGTCTTTTAAATAAAATTAAGTTGTTAAATAGTATTATTATCATACTGTTTAATTTAAAATAAATTTTACCATATTTTATTACCATGATTTTAATTACAGGTAAGTTATTATGTATTATTATTTTGTAATTAATTTTGTTTTAATAAATCAACCGGGTTACATACGATCAATGCCCTGATAATTTGTTTTATCCCTTTTTTATTTTAATTTTTAAATAAATTAATATCTGTTTGAAAATTATTTAAGATTAAAGTCTTTATGAGTTAAAAATAAATTTAGGATTAAATTAAAACTTTTACCTGACATTTTGGATTTTTAAAAGTAGTTTTTAAGTACTTTTGAGTGGGCGATTTGTAAAAAATTACACGTTACAGGACAAATTCATATTTTAATTTTTTTTGTTTAAGGAATTTTCATTAGTTTGCTCTCTGCTGCTGTAGGATTATATCCTTCAAGTTCAAATGTTGTTAGTCTGACTGCATCTAATTTTGACAGTTTAGTAGATAGGGGTGATGCTGTTTGGGTTGTTGAATTTTTTGCACCTTGGTGCGGACATTGTAAAGCACTAGTACCAGAATACTGGAAAGCAGCAGCTGCTTTAAAAGTAAGATGATGTTATTTAAAAATTTACACTTTTAATTTTGCATATTATTAAAGGTATTATCATTATCATTTTTTTTTTTGTTAAGGGTGTTGTTAAAGTAGGTGCTGTTAATTGCGATGAGGAACCAGCTTTGAAAGGAAGGTTTGGTATTCAAGGTTTTCCCACGATTAAAATATTTGGTGCAGATAAAAAAAACCCAACTGATTATAATGGAGCCAGAACCACTCAGGTACTTAAATATTCTAAATTAGATTTATTTTTAATATTTCAATATGTTCTAATTGCCATTACTTCAATTTTTAGGCTATTGTAGAAAGTGCTTTAGAAGCTGCTAAAAAAAAAGTATACAGTAATCTACCTGGCAAAAAGTCAGGTGGATCTGGAAAAAGCTCAGATTCCAAAGATGTCGTACAATTAACAGATGACAATTTTGCATCGAATGTTTTCAATTCTAAAGATTACTGGTTGGTTGAATTTTACTCTCCAGGATGTATACACTGTCAAAGACTGGCACCAGAATGGGCTGAAGCAGCTACACAACTCAAAGGAAAAGTAAGTTTGTACAACATAACTAATTTGTTAAAATTTCAATAATTATGCAATATTACATACAAATCTCCATTTTAATTATTAAATATATATTTTAAAGGCAAAATTGGGTGCTATGGATGCTACATCTCAATCAGTGATTCCATCTCAATTTGACATAACAGGTTTTCCTACGATATATTGGTTTGAACCTGGAGCTAAAAGTAAAAAAGATGCAAAACCATATGAAGGAGGAAGATCTTCTTCAGATATTGTTAACTGGGTTGTTGACAACATTCTCGAGAATGCTCCTCCTCCAGAAGTTGTCGAGGTTATTATTAATTTTTGTTATAATTTACATACTTGACACATAAATGTTCTAAAGAATTTTTTTTTTTAACTTTTAGTTATTGGATGAAAATGTTTTTAAAGAACAATGTACAAAGAATTCATTGTGTATTGTCGCAGTTCTTCCACACATTCTCGATTGTCAATCGGAGTGTAGAAATAACTACTTAAAAATGTTATCAAAGGTTGCTGATAAATTTAAAAGAAAATTATGGGGGTGCGTTTATTTCTCTCTTTTTTATGCCACAAATTAATATTAAAATTCATTACTAAAAATTATTTATTAAACATTTTTTTTAGTTGGACTTGGGTCGAAGCTGGTGCCCAAATGGATTTGGAACAAACATTAGGAATGGGTAATTTCGGTTATCCTGCCATGTCAGTTCTCAATACCAAAAAACAAATTTCATCATTATTTAAGGGTTCATTTTCTGAAGAAGGAATCAATGAATTTTTAAGGTAATTAATAACCTTATTCAAGATATTATTGCAACATTTAAATTAAAGAAACAGGAATGAAATTATAATTTTTTTCTCAGGGATTTAAGTTATGGTCGAGGTCAAACTTCAGTTTTACAAAATGCAAAACTTCCAAAAATATCTAAAATTGAACCATGGAATGGAGAAGATCAAGCTCTTCCAGAAGAAGAAGAAGATATAGATTTATCAGATATAGTTTTAGATGATCTTAAGGAAGAGCTTTAAATAATATGCAACATAAACTTAATAATCCAGACTGATTAAATTATAATTTATAAAGGCTAAAAAAAATTTATTATTTTAATTGAATGCGTGCGTACTAGTAAGAATATATATATATATAGATCAATTTTTAAAAATTTATTTTTTAGTAATCAATCAATCACTAATTAATCAGGTTTTTTTTTTTTTTTATTAATAAATTTAAATTGATGTTGAAATATTTTTAAAATCAAATCATTATAGACAGTGCCTCATTTTATTAATTACATTTAAAAAAAATCAAATCAACTTAAAAAAGTGTCATTTCAATTTAAAGAAAAAAAAAAAAAGAAATATTTTTCGAATATTATTCTTTACTAATAAATAAATAATAAATATTTGTAATTTCGCTTAAGAAAATTTTACTTTTATATATACATATATGACAACTTGAATTAACGAAAGCTCAAAAATAAAGAAAAAAATTGTTTTCTTCCTTGTATTTAATGAATTTTTTTTTTTTTGTATATGTAACAAAGAGTTTTATATATAATTTTGTTTTCACAAATAAATACAAAAGTAGTCATATTGTCATTTATTTTAAATTTGTTTGAAAGCTTTTTTTTGTAAAACGTACTAAAAACAGTAAATTTTTATTATGAAATTTTGAATTGTATTTTGTAAATAAAAATGCTCTTAAAACAAACAATTTTTTTACTACTACTTTCTTAACATTTCCTTTTTTTTCTTAATTGTTATTTTATTTTACTTTTTTTTCTAATGGTTAAATTTTACCTTTATACAAATGGTTAATTTGATTTTTCACTATCTATATGAATGTGCATTTAAAAATTTTTAACAGATCTTTTAAAAAAAATAGTTAAAATAACGTTATTTTTTAATTACTTTACCTTTTTCATCGAACAAATTCGGAAAATCATTCCATATCCAACTCAAAACTCTATTTCGTTCCATTTTAATTAAAACCCGCCGCCGCGTTCGATTAATTGTTTGTACAAAATATCCGTTAAATTTGAAAAAGAAAAAAACTTAAAGACACGACGTTCAATTATTTACTACCACGTTACACACTAATTCCGTGTTAATAAGTTTTTATTAAAAATTTGTTTTATTTAATTAGAAGAAATTTATTCTACTAATTTATCTAATAGGTAATAAACAAATTAATTTTTTTTGCCCTAATAATTTTATTTTTAATAAAACCCGAAAACGGTTTCACGCATTAATAATTTAATTAAATTAATTCGAGTATTTTACATTATACGCGATACTCGTTTTATGTAAAAAAAAAAAAAAATGGCGCGTCATTATCCCCACATTAATATTTTATTTTAAATTAAAAAAAAATGGATTTTAAAAAAATATACGAATAAATATTAATATAAATTCTTTCTTTAATGTATTTTTATTCTCGTATAAAATACATAAATATATTTAAATAATAAAAAATATATAAGTATAAAAGAAAAAAAAAAAAACTTGGACTTAATTACTATATAAATTCATACAGACTTTTTTTAATAGATAAATTGCTCTAAATATTTAAATAGATTAATAAATAATTATTAAAATTATTTATGCATTATGCATTTTTAAAAAGTGTTAAAAACAAGTGATAAATTATTACTTTTTCATTCTTCCTGCATATCTTATTTTGAAAATCTTGATTTATTAATTATCAATAATTAGAACATTATTGTTAATCGCATAATGACAGACATAAATAAGATATTCATAAGGAACTCGTTAATTTTTTGTATAAGGATATACTTTTTTTTTTTTTTTGTTTGTTTATTTAAGTCTTTGAAATTGCATTTAATATGATGAAAAAGTTTTTTTTTAAAATATCAAATCACAAAATAGTTTTAATATCTTATAGGTGATATGATTAATCGAATAATAATTGACTGACATTTTACACATTTAGAAAATGTTTTTTGTTTTTAAAATTTCATTAAAAGATTAACATTTCACTTAAATTATAAAATTATTTATACACTTTAAAATATATTTAAAAAAAAAAAAAAAAAACACACCATGTAATATAAATTTTTTCTTCGATAATAATAACTAACTTCTTTCACACTTTACTAAAACCTACAAGTTACAAATAATAAATAAAATTTGCAGTCGTTTTTATTTATAATATCCCCCCCCCTTTCCATACAAACAAATCCATTCATTAATAATCATTTAAAAAATAAAAAAATCATTCATACATATATCAATTAATTGATTATCAGGCAGTGACATTGTTGTTTATTTTTTAAACCCCCCTCCCCCCCCCTAAAAACATTTTTTTCTTATCAAACCGTTGTTGAACCCATAACGTGATACATTCTTTCTTTTTTACAAACTATTGGATAAAATATAATAGTGTAATAAATTCCAAGGCTTGAAAGTATTAAAAATAATGTTATTGCTATATAACCCCAAGCACCGATTCCTCCTCTTCTGACTGCTTGACCTGAAAAAAAAGTAATTCATACCTGTATTTAACATAATAATAATAATAATAATTTTTGTATTTGTTTTCAGTGAATCAATCAACTTTTCAAAAAACAAATGGAGGAGGGGATGGTAAGAGATTTTGGTGTAACACACAATCAAAAGGTTAGTAAAAAAAAAAAAAAACTTTTTGTTTTTAAATTATAACAAAACAAAAATGTTATGACGTCACGGGTAACATGATTTTATAAATTTCTCATAAATTTTAATGATATTATTATTTAAATTGATTTTTATGAGAAATCGCTCATTTAATTATATGCCCTTGAATTATTATGGTTTATGACATTTATCAATTTTAAAATTCTGTTTTTTTTTTTTTCTTTTTTTTCTAAATCAAATTATTCATGTTTCAATGTTAAAAAAATTGAATAAATAATAATAATAATAATAATAATAATAATAACAACAAATTTTTTGTTAACGGTTAAGAATATTTAAAAAGTAGAACAAACACTATAAATTTTTTAAAACAAAAAACTCTTCACTCATTATTATTATTATTATTATTGTTTTATCAATGCGGTATTGATAAAAATTATATTTATATATCTAAAAATAAATAATTTAAACTAATTTTGTTGTTTTGGAAAAAAAAAAAACAAAAACAAACAAACAAACAAATAATTAAACATAAAAAAATTATTTTTAAAGTTAAATGGCTGTAATTAAAAAAATTTTTTTTTTTTTTTTTTTTTGGGGGGGGGTTTCCTCGGGCGCAATTCGTATTAAAATTTTTTTTTTTTTTAAATAAATGTATTATTATTATTATTTAAACCGTAAATAAATTATTAATGTTTGATGATAAGTTATTTAAAAAAAAAAAAATTACTTTTACTCGGAGTGCTAGGTTCTGATGATGACGTTCGTCCATTTCCTTCATCTGAATACCCTCCAGTTTTCCAGATTTTTTTCCCATTATTTGTCGGTCTTGGATTATTCCATTTTTGACAGTCAACAATGGAAATGATAACTAAAAAAAAAAAACAAAAAAACGTCACAATCGAACCGAAAAAAAAAAAAAAAAAAAACAGAAAAAACTTTTAAGGATTCGAACCTTGTTTAGTATAATTTCAGTTACGTATATAAAATACTGACTCATTTTAAAATTAATCATATGGTGGCGGAAAAACAAAAAAATTTGAAATAATTAACATAAATAATTAAAACGCGAAATTTTATTAAGATTTTTTATTATTTTATTTTACGGATTATTTCTCAACCGAAAATCAAAAAATAAAAAAAATTGTTAAGTACAATTCGATACATAACACAACATAATGTCTTATTTTTCCAAAACAAAACAGAAAATATTATTATTATTATTATTTATTTTTTTAATGGTAAAATTAGATAACTTATAAACAAGTAAATAATAACAAAACAACCAGTTGTTGTTGTTGTCGTTGTTGAAAATGGGGCATTAAATAATAATAATAATAATAATAACGAGTGTTAACAATTTAATATGTCGTCAAATGAAAATATGGGGAAAGCTTATTTATTAATTCTTATTTTTTTCCATCGTCGAAATAATTTAAATAAGTTATTAAAATTCATTTATTTATTAAAATACACCGAGAGAGTTATAAGGAAAATAATAAATAAATAAAACAAACGAACTGAAATCAATTTTTCCATTTTTGTAGTCTGCTTTGTAAATTTCTATCATTTATAAACAAATTCGTTTGTTATTATATTTTAATTTCCAATGAGACGGGGGGGGGGGTTTATAGGGTTCAATAACCTCAATGATAGAAAATTTTTAATTTTTTTTTTTTTTTTGAAATTCAGGTATAAATTTTATTTTTAAATTATTTATAATAAATAAATACCTGGCCATATACATAAAAAAAATTTTTTTTTTATAAAACTTATTGTTAAAAAAAAATGTTAAAAAAAAAAAAATTCCATTGTGTGGACATTCCAAAGCAGAAGAAAAAAAAAATAGAATTCCAGTAGTAGTTATTATTAATTATTTATTAATTTTTACCTGTTTTTATTTAAAAAAAAAAAAAATTACTCGGATTTTATTTATTATTAAAAAAATGAAGCAGAAGAAAAAATAAAAAATAAAAAAGAAAAATTTTTACTTAAAAACATTAAGTAAACATGTTAATTAAAATTTTTAATTAGAGGGAAAAGGAAAATTATTTATTATTATTATTATTTAAACTGGATTTTGGAAAATTCAAAGTTAGGCTCACACTTTGAAGTTATAATTTATTTTTAATAAATTATTTTATTTATCACCGTTGCAATTAATAAAAAAAAAATTTATTAAATGTTTAATGGGTGTGTGTGTGTTAAGCCGGTAGTAGTTTTGTGTGACACCGCATATATTAACCAGAAAAAATATTATTATTATTATTATTATTATTATTATTATTATTCACATAATCACAATTCTCACGATGACTAATTAACACATTTTATACGTTTGTAAAATTTTTGATTAAGAAACAAAATTGTCACGAATTTAATTTAAAATTTAA